GCGTGTCTGCTGTGGCTGGAGGTGTGACAGCTGTTGGTTCTGCTGTTGTAAACAAAGTGCCCTTATCAGGAAAGAAGAAAGACAAGTCTGACTAAGATGAGGTACACTTGTACACTTGCACACTTGCTCTCTACAGCATATGTTGCCAGTGGCATTGAACTGCTCAAGTACAGACTACAGCCCAGTCAACCGCTAAACTCCTGGGTTGAAAGTATCGATGGCTGGCTTCATCCAAAACAAGAAGAGACCAATACCATCCCAGTGTATGGAGGCTTCTCATACTTAAGTTCAGCTTTCTATCTGGTAAAATGTTACACTTACTCAGTTGTAACTGAAGATATGGTATGTTTAAATATTTGCTCTAAGTCTTTCAGTTTGACTAAAAATGTGAAAGTTCAACTTAGTAGATGACTTTACAGTTCCATGTGTACAGTGTGCCAGGTAACTCATATGACCCTTACAAAGGGACTCTTGAACTACATAAACTGTACCTTTGATGTGCCTAATAGTTTCAGATGTCTTAGTTTTTTATAACTATAGTGGTTTAGGCCAAGAGGCATTCTTATTTAAGCTGGCAGAAAAGTAGCAGGAATTCAAAAGTTTAGAAGATAAAAGGTTTTATGATAGTGTTAATTGTTTTTTGTTAGATAAACATTTTATCTGTTTAATCATTGATGCCTTACAAAAGAAAACATCTTTTTCTAATACCTTAAATATGTGCAGTTCATATAATTATCAGTGAATTATTTTAAAGGTTGTAAAACTAGTTTTCCCTCTTAAGAATCTCAGGAGTATTGAATTGAGGTAAAGGCGTTTCCTGGTGTCAGTGGGTAAGATAGTGCTTGTTAGCTGTTGTCAGTAGTTAACATCCAACATACGCTTTAGTTGGGTTCATGGTCCCATCATTAATACACCCCACAGTGCCCATGGAACATTTCTTAGCTGATCAAAAGCTGTGTGGGGAGAGTTTTATATTAAGAAGAACAAGTATTAATTTTTAAGTTCTTATAATTATTTGAAGCATCTAAGATAATCCTTCATGCATATTCTGTCTTTAGGATGTCTTAAATTATCAGTAGCAATTCCTTTAAAAATACAATAAAAGCAACCACAAACACATGAGGATTGACTCTTTAAATGAATGAGATGGGCTCCATACATTGGCTTTGAATAAAAAAATACATAAGTGCTTTCAGTGACTTATATAGAGTTTTTTTTGTTTGTTTTTGAGATGGGATCTTCTGTAGCCTAGACTGGTCTTGAACTGACTATGTAGCTGAGGAAAACCTTGAGCTCCTAATCCTCTTGCCTTCACTTCCCAAGTGCTGGGACTACAGACATGCATGAAACTCCATGCTTGGTTTATGTGATGCTGGGGATGGAACCCAGGGCTACATGCATGTTAGATCAGTATTGTACCAACTGAGCTGCATCTGCAGCGAAATTTATTCATGCTTTTAAGATATGTTCTCTTATAACTCTTCAAAGCAGATGCAGACATACCATTTTTCAAGCCAGTTTCAGATAGGGAGTTGACGTTTTGTTTGATATGGATGGTAAGTGTGTTGTGTCTTAATGTGTCATCATAGCTCATTTATTCTCATAGAACGTAACTCAAAAGTCCATTTCTTTTTGTTTTAGTGTTCAGTTTCATGAAAATTTAATAACTGACATTATGTTTGGTATTTATCTTATAATCTAAGTCTGAAAAAAATCTTAATTTTCTTTATACCTAAAACTAGAACTCTGTCTCCATTCTGCCCTTTCTAACTCCCTGGAGAGAGGAAGGGAGGGGTGCCTTGACACAAAGAAGTCAAGACGTAGTGTCCCTGAGAACGTCACCCTAACGTGCAGGTTTTAAATGTTTGAAATTTTAAAAGCATTCATAAATAACAGCAGGACTTGCAAGCAAATCTATAAATGTTCTGGAACCTTTATGCTTACACAAAACTTAAAATCACTGAGGAGTGAAATTTAGAAGGAATTAAATGGCCATTTAGTTCATGAAATATAATTAAGACATTTGTTGGTACATCTGGTGAAATGTCTTAACAAATGGCATTTTTTTTAATTCCAAAATTAATAGACCCATTCTCAATGATCTCAATAATGGTATTGGAGAACTTGCTTCCTGCTGTTTAGAAGTTATTGATTCATTGCTGGTTTGTATTTCTAACTTCAAGGCTCTGCTGTGCGTTGTACTTGAATTCATCGAAGTGTAGACCTAGTTTATATATGCTTGCATATTTATTTTCAACTTTGCTTGTCTTTAAAATCACTTGAGGAAATGGCTATAGTTAATTTCTGCTACAGAAAAGCCACCTGGTAAATTTTCTCAATTGTCTTAAATGCTAAAGTACAATTCTACAACAGTAGCGGAGAATTGTACAAGCGTCCAGTTAGCTGTGTTCTAACTGAAGTGAACTTGCCATTTGATGATGTGTACAGCTGTATACTTAGGTCTCTTCCAGTTTATTGACGTAGACTAGCAGTGTGACCTGTTAAACAGGACTAGCTCACTTCAGAAACTATGGGTGTTGTGTACATCTGGAAGTGTCTGTTATTCAGCTTCTTTTTTGAGTGGGTTTTTGGCACAGTGAAGATAAATTTGTGTGATCCACTTGAATAACTGATCTAATGTTGACATATGAATACTGTACTTAGTGAAATGTCAGATGAAAATAGCTGATTGAATAATGCGGGTTTTTTTTTTTTTTTGTATTAAAGGAATGGGAAAGAACACATGAATCTGATAATAAAGGACTATGATCTGCAAAGATGGAATGTTTCATAAAGACCTACAGAAATAAAGGCAATTTGTGAACAGTTACATGGCAGTTCAGGAATTGCTGTAGCCAATGTTTTGGGTGATGGTTTACAACATGGTATTTGGATGCAGACAGAACAGTAGAATTCAACTAGAATTTAATCAACTAAGACTGAAAACGGAATGTCTAGGTTTTGTCATCTGTTTGCTCGGTCTCTGCAGGGTAGGCCAAGACTTTAACAACTTTGGTGGGTTCTGCTTAGGCACAAGTGTGAATGCAGTGAGTTACACCTTGGGACACTGTTACCTAGGGACACTATTCCACTGTATATTGTTAGGGGGACAACCTAGATTGCTGCCGCAAGGATCCCATGCCACCTCTCCAGAGCTGGGATTACAAGTGAGTGTCATCACATTGGCATTTTCTTATAAGTTCTCAGAATCAAAACTAACTGAAGTTCTCATGTCCCAAATGCTCTGCTGATCTGTGTCCTGAACCCTCCTCTTCCATTCCTATCAACCCACCCCACATGGCCTTCTCGCTTCCCTGCTCCTCCAGTCACTGTTGATAAGGTCAACCAATGGTTGCCCTTTTCCACGCTTATTGGTCACTTCTCTACATCTTAGTTGCCTCTTTGTGGCAATCTTATCTACAGCCATAGCTTTAAGGCCACAGCAGTGCAAGTGGTGCTGATGTTTATCTCCACTTCCGACTTCTCACAGCTCCGTACTTGGTCATTTGCCTGTTACTAACCACCCCACAGTTGACAGGTAACTATAGAGGACCACATAGCCTGTAATGTATTCCAAACCTGCTGTGAGAGCAGGCGAGTGCTTGCACTACTGTTGATTGCCAGGACAATGCTCTAGAGGTTCCCCATCACACGTAGAAGGAACTCCAGCTCTTTAGATGGATCAGTGATGCTGTTCATTTTGCGCTACACTGAATGAAGCCTGTGCTGTCTCTCCCGCGTCTTTTCAAGTACACACTTGTGACTGAATCTGAGGTGAAGCATGCACTCTGGCACTAAGCTGCCTCTGGTCTTAACATTTTTCTTGGCAGTCCTGAGTGCTTTGGGTAAGTGCCGTAGCTTGAGTCTCACTGTGGAACAATAAGTAGTCTTAACTTCCTGAACACTTGTTGCTACTCAATATCCCAACTAAGGAACTGAACAGATTTAGATAGTGAGACAGACTTGCATTTGCTAAGAGAATGGACAAAGGATACTGGCCGCATTTTCATTATATTTCAGAAGCTGTACACACTGCATAGTCAACTGGGTGTGCATTACAACCAGTGAGTGTTACAGTTGTTACAAACTGTAGCGCTCAAAGTGAGCCAGTCTTGATTTGGGCAATGTTTATCTTGCAAGCACAAGATTTAGAAATGGAAGTGGGAACACTACAACTAAAAGTAGGGTCACCTGAAGTAGATTCTCAGGCTTTCTAGGAAGCTGTATTCAAGTGCCTGAACGAAGTTTGGATTGCAGTGTCCATACACCTCCCCCACAGTCTATTTGCATTCCTTCCTTGTGCTGTGCAGGGAAAGGTGGGGATCTTTTCTGTTCCTGAGGCTGACCAGAACTGAGATCTTAATACATCTGGCCTCTCATGAACCTCAGGTTCATAACGAATGTGTGCGTTCCTTAAGAGATTTCAAACTGGGCTGGAGAGATGGCTCAGAAGTTAAGAGCACTGGTTGTTCTTCCAGAGGTCCTGAGTTCAATTCCCAGCAACCACATGGTGGCTCACAACCATCTGTAATGATATCTGGTGCCCTCTTCTGGCCTGCAGGTGTACATGCAGACAGAACACTTTATACATAATAGATAAATAAATCTTAAAAAAAAAAAAAGAGATTTCAAACTGACCATAGAAGTAAGCTCTTAACTAATCCCTTTGGATGGGTGACACTTGTCAGAGACGCTCATTCCAAACACAAGGTGAAGTTAGTTCTCTCTAAAGGAATGTGTTGTTGGCCTCTTAGTGACTCAGGGCTGGTGGTGAGGAATTACACTTTGTAGCGGCTCTAGGAACAAAAATGTTCATGTACCCCCATCAACAGTGTGTACTCCAGGAAAGGCACAAAGCTACACAGAGAAACCCTGTCTCAAAAAACCAAAAAAGAAAAAAAAAAAAAAAAGAGTGTGTACTTGGCAATTCCTTCAAAACTATCCATGTGAACTATCACACTATATGATGTTTTGGAGTAATAGTTCAATGTCAAAGTTACTGATGTTATTTAAACACAATTTATATTTATTTTATATTTTAAAATACATTAAGAGTCAGAGGCCATCGATTATGAGGTGCTTGAACACCACTCAGAAGCTCAGTAGGTCCTGATACTCAGTAGTGCTTACAAGCTGAGTTGCTTAAGTCTTTGTGAATTGGTCACTTTGCCTGCTAGAAATAAGCTCCACATCACTCTTCCACACTTAATGATGCCACAGGGTTAAATAGTGGCCTTCCCTGCTTGGCTTGCATTTTGCTTAAGTTAGCCTCAAACTCCTTTTTTGTTCCATTTAGACTTGCTAGATGCCCATCCTTTATTCTGTAGCCTAAAGAGTTCAGCTTTCTTATCCTGTATTGGACTATCTGTGGTGTTAACTCAAGGACCATTGGTGACTCTCTTAGCTGAGCCATGGAGATTCCTTCCTTCAGCAGCGCCTGGATCCTCTCTTCTAGGACTGGGGCAGGGTAATACAGCAGCACGGGACAGTTCACAACCAACTGCCGCAGCTCATCATCTGTGCACTCAAAAGTAGTCTTAGTGAAGGAAATACTGTTCTGGATGCTTCCTGGCTGAAGCTGAAAAAGAAACCCTTTAAGTTTGGACAGAAGCTGAAGAACTTGAGAGTTTGTGAAACCTTGTCCTTGAAGACATTTTAGTATTTGGTCTACAGCTGTCGGAGGACTTAACACAGCAAATGGATTCTGGCTTAATAACTTCAGCAGCCACACTTTGGCGTTGGCCTGAGAGCCACCTAAGCTTAGGTAGCTCTCCTGGAGAACCCCTATCATTCGCTTGTTGTTCTCTACAGGATTATGGAAAATGCTAGAGGCGGTCGTCAGAAACCTGCTAATCACCACATTTTTGAGTCCCAGCTCTTGAAAGAATTGAACATTCAGCTTCTGGTTCTCCTGGTCCTTGACAGTAAAGAAAGGTTCTGGAAACTGCTCTATTAATTGGATTAGGTGGGCCTCATTTTTGCAGACCGTCTGCCAAAGTTTCCTTTTGGCATTAACAGCGGCAGGACTGCAGACAATCGCTTCTGGACAGCGTTCTAAAATACTGGCTATCACAGTTTTGTTGGCGCCTAGTTCTTTCAGAATATTTGCAATCTCTTCAACGTAGGTGTCATCCTCTAGAAGCACCCATGCTTTCAGTCTGCGGATCTTCCTGATGTCAACGGAACATGCCTGGAGCCTTTCCACTGTTCTCGTGTTTTCTTTGTTGGTCTGGCTGCCCGTTTCATAGCTGACACATGCTGAAGGTTTGATTTTTAGAGCTGGTTGCGGCTTTCTGAAAAGACACAGCCTGCAGAGCTGGTGTCCCGTCAGCAACCTCCACGACATGCTGTAGCGCTGGCTAATTCCCACATCCTAAACGGAGAATGTCCACACTGTGCCTGTAAGGAAGATGAAGACTTTAAAGGAACATTGACTTTTAGAACAGACACTTAGAAACCTGAGTTCTAAGCAGTAAGAAAAATTTAAGCTAGCAAGGAAAACTACCCCACTATAATAGACAGTAGTGATTGGAGCAGTACCTCACAGTTCACCCTCATACCCTTACCATCTCCATCTGTTAGGAGAGGCCACACTGTCTGAAGCAGTGCGGCTTCTGCCAGAGTAAGGGGCTGCAACACTCCACCTCCATCTTAGGGTCCTGGCTGGGCCCATGCAATAAGGCAACATAGAATGGTCAACAGGAGAGCATGCAAATTTATCCCATACAAGTTGTACATGTCACGGAAACCCATACAAGGAAGACAAGACCCAGAGCAGGGCAGGCTGCGCTGAAGTGGACAAACAGTAAGATTTGAGGAAGCAACTCCACTACCTGAGGAGCTTAAAAGCTGAGGTATTTCGGTAAGCCTCGGTCTAGTTATCTTTAAGAAGGGTGCTTTCCCTTAACAATTTCACCTGCTCTGGAACAGAAGAGTCAGGATGACCCAGCACCTATTTTCAAGTGGCTTTAATTCAAAATAGTTAGTCTATGTGCCATGGTATTAAGTATTAATATACCACCTCCTTCACCACTGTGTCTTGTTTCTGGCAACATGCACATGGCCTAGGGTTTGGTAAAATTTTAGTTTCTGGGAGTGTTGGTGTGTCAGCCAGTCCTTTGCAGCTTCCTGTGTGCGTAGATTTGACAGGGTCAATGCAAAGACAGCCATTTCCAATCGCTGCCACTACCAATGCCCTTGCCATACAGGCTGATGACCGCAGACCTGTCCTATCCAGACGATCACTCTGTAAAGACTGTTGACTGGTGGTGGTTGCTCACTGCTGGTGCCTATGGAGGCTAACGCTGTAGACATAGCGTGCTTTACTCACAGTTTAGTTTTCTTTAGATTATTCCTAATGTCGTAAGGCAAGATAAAGATATATTTTAAACAGCTTCTATGAGAGCTTTCAGTTTTAACAGAAAGAGGCGTAAGTGTGACGGAGCCCAGGCAGATCTGGGTTGGGGCCTCCTCCCTTCTCACTGTTGTTACTCTACAGGTTCAGGCCTCTCATCTAGACCACATGCTGGAGAAGGGGGGAGGTTCTGTAGCTGAACTGCCTGTGCCCAGCCCTGGCTTGAACTTACGGAGTGATCTTGAAGTTTGTTAGCTTCAGACTAAACAGTAATTCAAACATGCCTCATGGGAAACTTGTCCATGAGCATTAAAAACAGCAGTGCTCTGTAAATGAGAATATCACCACACCTTACAGGGCGCTGTCAGAGTCAAATGCACTGCAAGTACTCTGATACAGCCTGGCACCTAGTAAGTGTCTCATCCTAATAAATGGTGGTTATCGCCGGGAATTACAGGGAGCCAGAGTCTTGTGGTGAAACAACTTTAAACTGAATTTTGATGTGAATTTGGAGGGGTGGATCTGGAGAAGGAGTTAGGGTAAGGAGTCGGGTGAATATGACCAAAACACATTGTATATGTGCATGAGCTTCTCAAAGAATAAAACTTTACTTAAAAAAGGCTTTGACGAGATTGCTGTCCTTGCACTGTGAGACACATAAAAGATGCCATCTGTGCGGGCACCTTAGTTTTGGCCCTGCAGCCTCCAGAACAGATGAGATGAGTAAGAAGCCTGGACCATTGTGATGAACCAGTCTAAGCTGCTCTCTTGTAACAGCCCACATGCACTAAAGCAAAATGTTTTCTTCTGCTAAACAAATCCCAAAGCCTGAATTTAGATAGAAGTACCATTTACAAAGGGCAAATGAAGATGTTTAAGTAGGTCTGCTTCCAAAATAAAACTAATACACACTCACTGCAGAGTTGCTGAATTCTGAGGAATACAAGCAGGTGAAAACTTACAACCCCCCCATTTATAGGTAACTTAATACTTGGTTATTTTTGAGATAGGGTCTTGCTATATCACTCTGGATGTGTAGCCCAGGCTAGCCTCAAACTCATGGCACTCATGCCTCAGCCTCTTGAGTTGGAATTCCAGGCTTGGTGACAGCTGTTCATATTTTACTGGGTTCTTTTTCTTCTCTCACTTCCTTGTTATAATCTTTAAGTCTACAGAGCAAAGCTACACATGGGAATTCTGTCTATAACGCTGAGCAAACAGCCAAGGGTTCCTTGAGGGTTGGGGCAGATCTTGTGTAGCTTGCTGTGAGGGTCTCACCTTGCACAATGACAGAACATCAGCGCCCATTTCCATGCCAAGCCACTCCCACTGACTGAGAGGCATCTATGAGATGAGGCAAAGGATAGGCAGGCTGTGACCCAAGTTCTGCCTCCTGAAAGGTAGACTAGACGAGGAGGTAGTCATCGGGACAGTCAAGGCTGCCTATCTGCGGGGCAAACACGGTTAGCAGTGAAAGTGGAAAACCTGAACAATAAGTGTACATTACAACTTTTAAAGTCTTACTGTGGCATTAAAATGCAGGACAAGGCCGGGCGGTGGTGGCGCACGCCTTTAATCCCAGCACTTGGGAGGCAGAGGCAGGCGGATCTTTGTGAGTTCAAGGCCAGCCTGGGCTACAGAGTGAGTTCCAGGAAAGGGACAAAGCTACACAGAGAAACCCTGTCTCGAACCCCGCCCCCCCAAAAGCTATATTTACAATACTCTATACTCTGCTAACTGTGTGTAGCGTTATGTATACAAAAATCCCTAATTAAAAAAACAAAACTCCATTGCTAAAAAATGCTCTTGATCCTCTGAGCCTTTATTAATTGTAATCTTGGTGGCAGATGGCTTTGTCTCCCCTGATGGCTGTGGAGTGATCAGTGTTGATTGCTGAAGGTTGGGATGACTTGAAAATGTACTTTTCAAAAATGCATTTTGTAAACCAGGCGATGATGGTGCCCGCCTTTAATCCCAGCACTTGGGAGGCAGAGGCAGGCGGACCTCTGTGAGTTCGAGGACAGCCTGGTCTACAGAGTAAGTTCCGGGACAGCCAGGACTGTTTCATAGAGAAACCCTGTCTCGAAAAACAAAACAGCAACAAAAGTGTGTGGAGGCACCTGAGGGGGTCAGAGGACAACTCAGTGGAGTTGGATCTCTTTCCAGCTTTCCATGGATTCTGGGATTGAACTCCGGCATTAGGCTGGCTCAGCAAGTACCCTGACTTGCTCAGCCATCTTACCAGCCCCCGCCAAGTTCTTAAATAAGACAGCGACCTTGCTCAGCCTCGAGGAGGGAGGGGGCGGGGGTTGGTCCTGCCCCAACTTAGTATGCCACTTTGTTGACTCCCCAAGGGCGGCCTTACCCTCCTCCCTGAGGAGTGGATGGGGGTGGGATTGGGGGAGGTGGGGGAGTGGAAGTAGGGGAAGCAGGGGGAACTGGGACTGGTATGTAAAATGAAAAAGTTTTTTTTTAATAAAAAAAAAAGAACAAGACAATGAAGTCTGCTGCTTCAGTTGGCCTTCTCACAAAAGACTTCTTGGTAGCCTATAGTGCTGTTTGATAGCATTTTCCCCAAACTACTGTTTCAAACCCAGAGCCAGGCCTTTCGGACCGAGGGCTTTATCTAAGTCTCTGTGACTCCGAGTCCTTTGCTGCCTGTCATCGTCACGGGGAATGGACTCCACCTCAGGTAACCACTTCCTGTCATCCATAAGAACAACTCCACATCTGCTCAAGTTTTATCTAATGACTGAACAGTGCAGTCACATTTCTACCTCTCCTTCTACCACGCTCTGTACTTCCTTCCTTCACAAGCCCCAACCCCTCGAGAGAGGGTTGAATCTGCTTCCTCCAGCTCCAGTCATGTTGACATCTTGGCTCCTCCCACAAATGTTTTCAACAACAACTGGGGTAGTGAATCCTCTCCAGAAGATTTTCCATGAAGTCCACCCATATCCTAGGACTTAGTACCCTACAAAAAAACTAAAGAGAGGCCAGCGAGATGGCTGCAGGCAAAGGTGCTTGTCACCAAGGCTGCTGCTGTGACTCTAAACCCAGAGGCGAACATGGCGGAAAGAGACTGACTTCTGCAAGCCCTTCTCCAACATCACACATGCACCTTGGCACCCGCCTCCCCACCACCCCTAAATACTCTTTTCAACTCTCCCCACCCAACACATTATCTCCGGAGAGCAATAAAGAGAAACAGGCAAGTGTGGTCACTCACATTTACAGCTTCAGCTGCATCCCCTCGGTTTTCCACCCTTTCCTGCTCTTGTGCTGCTCCCCACTACCACGACTCCCCACAGGGGCCCCTTTGTTCCATCCTCCTAGCTGATTCCTGCTGGGCCGCCTCCTCCTCCTGTTCTGTTCACACAGCTCTCAATAAAGGCGACTGCCCTGTGATCAGAGCTGATGAGTAGTTTCAGTTCCTAGTTTCCTTGGCTTTTGTAGCTTTCGGCATCATTCGATCACTTGCTTCCAAGCTGCTCTCCTCTCCTAGTCCTCAGGACTCCTCACCCCTTATCTGTCCCCTCTACAGGCTCGTCTTTAGGCTTGGTAGTCTGAAATTCCAGTGCTAGGAAGGCTGAGGCATGAGTTTTAGGCCAGCCTGGTCTACCTTGAGTTTTCCAGGTTAGCGTAGGCTGCAAAGTAACTTGTCTCAAACAAACAAACAAAAAACCCAAAATATTTTACAATTAAAGAAATAAAGACCATGAATTTAAGAGAGGTAGGTGTGTGTGGTGTGGTGTGTGTGTGTGTGTGTGTGTGTGTATTTGGCAAGGGAGAAAGAAAAGGGAAGGGGACATGATGTAATTATATTTTAATTAAAATACAGTAAGAAAAAGAAAACGGACAGGTTTTCCCGTGAGGAGAAAAAGGAAGTAAGTAATTAAGTATCCTTTCCTCCTTACCTCACAGTCTCCCCAAGAGCCCGCCACTGTCTAGGGCAACAGTCAGTCCACTTGGGGCTTCTCCGTAGCTTCTCAGGGATGATTTGTCACTTCTTTGCAATATTCAGTGGCACTTTAGGACAGACAGTCATTTGTAGAAATGACTCTTTGGGCCTTGCTGTCACCTGAACGCCTGCCTCCCCCCAGTGCCTGGGGCTCTGTCTGTCCCCACTACATGGTCTTCAAAGGCTGTGGACTACTCACTGTACTTCTGTCAGCTAACCCCCAGAACAAGGTGTCACACTCTGAAGGAAACGTCTGACCTTTCAGAGGAAACCTCATGTGCCCTTTATAGGCTTTTGTACCACCACGGACTGCAACTCTACCTAGGATGGCTGTGACTGTTCATGTTTCTGCTTCAGGATCCCACAAGGGCAGACCCTTTGCATCACCATGATCTAATGAGTTAGTTCCCTGCCCTTCACTGGCTGGCAAAGAGAGGGGCAGGCACCTTCCTATGTGCTTTCGACTTTACAGTAGCATTTATCAGTTGTCCATTTATTTAACTAGTAGTTTTTTTTTGTTTTGCTTTGCTTTTTAAGCTCAGGCTGCCATCAGGGGTGCTAGAACTAGGTCTCCTGGTGAAACACTTCTTCATAGTTCTGTTGGGGTCACAGCCCATCTGAGAACTTGAGAGTTACAGACTTTCCAGAAAAACAAGGCCCACACCTTTTCCACTTCAGAAATGACTTTAGCAGGATCAGTGAGCAGCAAGTAGTAATTGTGTGGGCGGGGGAGGGAAGAGACTCAATGCTGTTGTTTATTTTCTGTGATGAGAAAAGAACATGGTCACAAAGCAATGAAATCAAATGAACAGAGCAAGGCAAGAAGAATGAAACCATGCAGAAGGCAAGTCGGGGTTACTTCTGCACAGTCGCACTGCCTTGGGATTGATTTCCAATTAGCTGTGACTTCAGGAAGTTACTTTACCTTTCTGTGCCGGCAGCATGGGCATCAAGAACAGGGGGATGCTACTTCTCCGTGAAAGTGCGTGTTAAACGAGTTAATATTACAAGTCATGAAGAACATTTAAAAAACCCTCACATTACTGCTCACTAGACCACAATCCACCTCAAAGAAGGCTGCCCATCTGATCATGGCAGTCCTACTCTTGGTCCTGGGTCCTTGTATAGAGACGCTCTTGGTAAAAAGGTCATGTAGCCTGCTCTCTACGGTTTCACGTTTCTTAAGCAATCTTAAGGTGTGATTTTTATACTTAAAACAGTCCACTCGATAACACCAATTAATTTCTGATCTAACAGTTGTAAGTGAATCCCAATTTTGCAAGCAAAGAACCATAAAGTTGGTCAGAGGAATAGCACCGCCAGGGCCTTTTAAATCCGGAGAAACTTTCTACCCATGGTGCTCCCCGTTGGAGTGTGGGGTCGTTCTCGGGGGGCAGCTGCTAACCCTGACCCCGTGAGCTGGCTTGGGCTCAGCCCGAGCTGCAGGAAAAGGGGTGGCTCACCTGTGGGCGGCAGTGCGAGCACAGCGGGGAGCCCTGGGTTCTGAGTTCCCACCCAGCTCCGCAGGCCTCTCCACCCTGGAAACAGATCCCAAGGGAAGGCGCAGGGCTTTGCCCTTGGCTGGTAACCAATCAGAGCTCGGGAAACTGACGAGCAGGAAGCCACGCCCCCACCCCAGCGGAGCCAATTAGACTACGGGATACAGGCCGCGTCGCTCTCCCGTGGGAATCGGCGTGTCACACAATAGGGCTACTGTTGGCCAGTGCCACCTGGCGCTTCCGTCCCAGCTAACCGGCGGTTCGATCGCTTTGCCCCTTAGAGAATGTCACTACTTGTTAAGAAAAAACAGTAATTCAGAAGCTGTTGCTTGTGGGCTGACTTCCTAAAAGCCGTTCTTCCCTTTTCCTCCTAGATGACTTTGCCCAAATACTGCAAAAATGCCCAGAGCTTTACATTTTAGTCATTCGTCATACTCAAACTCATAAAGCAAACAAAGCCAGAATCCTTCCATCCATCCAACCAACATTTATGGCCTGCCGCAGCAGCGTCAAGCATGTGGACGGGGAAACAGGAAATAATTCACATTAACAACGTATTAATCACAATTAGAGCCACCTTGTGTTGTCTGCAGTGGGAGCTTCCCAGGCTGGTGACCCTCCTCATCCCATTTCTAAGGACCTCACACACAGGGCTGGGATATACTGAGGCTACCCCCTCCCCACCCCTCTTGTGGAGCCAAAGCCTGTGGCTACGGATTATGTCCCCAAGACCAGTGCTTGACCCAGTTAAGAACTCAGGAAATGTTAATCAAATCTGATTGTAGCCTTGTGGTTTATGCTCAGTGGGCTTTAGAGGAATCAACAGCTTGCCCTCGAGTTTTATGGTAGCAGAGTCCTGACTTGTCAAGATCAATTCTGTTCTGTAGGATACTCTGGAATTAACTGAGCAGCCATTACACAGATGGGTAGGGTATCTAACCCTTCTTGGTACACCAACACTCTATTCGTGGATTTATTACACACTTATTTTTTACAAGAGTTTGGGATCCATGGTTAAGATGTGCTATTCTCATTGGGAATACGAAATTACAGTAATACATAGACAGGAATAGTCATCACATCTGTAATCCTAGCATTCAAGAGATGGAAGAGATTGAGAACCCTGCTGATGTCAGCGTCATCTCCTCCAGGAACACCAGGCAGTGAGTTGTGCTGAAGTTTGCTGCCGCCACTGGAGCCACTCCGATTGCTGGCCGCTTCACCCCTGGGACCTTCACTAACCAGATCCAAGCAGCCTTCAGGGAGCCGTGGCTTCTAGTGGTGACTGATCCCAGAGCTGACCACCAGCCCCTCACAGAGGCGTCTTATGTCAACCTGCCCACCATTGCGCTGTGTAACACAGACTCTCCTCTGCGCTACGTGGACATTGCCTTCCCATTCAACAATAAGGGAGCACACTCAGTGGGTCTGATGTGGTGGATGCTGGCCCGGGAAGTACTCCGCATGCCTGGCACTATCTCCCGTGAGCACCCATGGGAAGTTATGCCTGATCTTTACTTCTACAGAGACCCAGAGGAGATTGAGAAGGAGGAACAGGCCGCTGCTGAGAAGGCTGTGACCAAGGAGGAATTCCAGGGTGAATGGACTGCACCAGCTCCTGAGTTCACTGCTGCTCAGCCAGAGGTGGCAGACTGGTCCGAGGGTGAGCAGGTGCCCTCTGTACCCATCCAGCAGTTCCCTACTGAAGACTGGAGTGCCCAGCCAGCCACTGAGGACTGGTCCGCAGCTCCTACAGCGCAGGCCACCGAGTGGGTTGGAGCCACCACTGAGTGGTCCTGAGCTCCTCTGCAGACACCTGAGCAAAGGGGAAAAAGGTGGAAGGAAATAAAGTTCCTACAAGCTGAAAAAAAAAAAAAAAGAGATGGAAGAGGGAGTGTAACATGAATTCT